GGCTTTTAATGTAGAAGATGGCAACTTAGGATCTGATTCTGCAGCACTAGGTGTTTAGCGTCCACTCCACCAGGTGCAGGATCAGGCCCTTTGACAGCAAAAATCACAAAGGAAGAGGTCTGCCCGTCTCTCTTCTTCGTCTTCTTTTTTTTTTTTTTTAAAGTCTCTATGGATACCTATACACGTGCCTGAAGTATGCTAATTAGCACACCAGAGCAGACTTGGTTAATCGAGTTGGCTGAAGCATGCTAATTAGCCAAATGTATTCGGTGTCCTTACACTTCAAAAGGGTGGCAGGGGCATTTTAACTAAAGCTCGTTGGGCAAACTTTAGTTAAAGGACCCCTGCCACTATTTTGAAGCGTGGGACACTGATTACATGGGAAGCTGTGGGTGCTTTAATTAGAACAGCTCCCGAGAGCTGCTCTAATGAAAGCACTCTCCTCCCTCTTCCCCGCCCCCGTACCCTGGAGCACGTGTAAAGATGTCCTATACAAGTAAGACTTGAGGACCAGAAGGTGATTCCTGATTAGCCAATGAGGTGATTACTGATCACGCCAGAAAGCCACGAGAGCCCCAACACAATGGTTAGTTCACATGAAAGCGTTTTGACAAGTTTACGTACCTCACTGTACCACACAAACTCTTTTTGTTTTATTATCGCCAGTATCAATGCCAACCTCTGCTTTCAAATAAAAGAGAAACACTAAGTGGATCTGAAGGTGGCAATGCAAATATAACAACAGGGAACTCCCTAGAACAGCAAGAACCACTTAGGAAGGGGTTTAATTTCTTACGAAAAAGAAAACATCAACTAAGCAGTTTGAAAATTAATGATAATTAAAGCTTAAATTGGTCATTGGGGCCTATGTGGCTGCATAAGGGAGCACAGCCATCTCATGTTTCTCCCTCCCTTCCTCCATTGTGTCTCCAGGTATGAAGAAAAGGTCTCTGTCTGATGCACCTAGTCCTTCCTCCACACTTGAGAAGGAGGAACAGCTAGGAGATATCATGGGTCCAACTACTTTTTCCTGTTGACAAGTGGGGCTTGGGGGACCAGAGACAATAGGCTGCATTTTCTAAAGGCCTGGCATAGTGTACACCTCCCCACGGACCACAGCAAGCTCTGAATCTCCAGTCTTTCCTGGGTGACACAACTATGCACGCCAAGGGGCTGACCCTCAAAGCTCAATGAGCCTGCATGCGGCCTCAGCACAAAGTCAAGTCTATAAGCATGTGGCTGGATTGCTAAGGGAAGAAGAAAATGCACTTGACCTTTAAATTCCAGTGACAATAATTGGGGGTTGGAACAGATCACCTTCGAGACACCTTCCAACCTTATGACTGATTCTGGTTACTGCGTGCAGAATGTTCCTGTAACTGAAGGCAGGGGGAGAAAAGTCAGAATAATGGCTGGGGGGTAGGGGCGATGTTTTAGAAAAGCTGCATCTTTATAGATCAAGTGTAGGCATTTGTACCGAATGTTTAATTGTTACTTCGTAGAGTCCAATGGATCACTAGTTTGCCTATAACCGTGGCTTAAATTTGCTATCACATCTTTGACAGATGTGTTCATCACTGTCTTGCTGCATGCTAGGAAGGTGTACACCATGCTTTTAAGTTATTAATTGCTAAACCTTTAGAAACTAGTTATTTGTAAGTCTGTCCTTGTACAACACTTGTGCGGTTAAAACCAGCCTCTGGTTTTAGAGAACATCTATATTCAACAGCATTGCTCTCAGGATAGTAAAACTCCCATTGACTACACTGATGCAGGACTGGATCATAAAGAAGGAAGAAAAAGTTCTATTTACATAATCCTGGAGAGCAGAGACTGAGGACTCCAATCCTGTGGATCAAGCTAGATTTCCAAAGGCTGTATCTAAAATGTATTACCTGGCTGGCTTTTGCTGTGCCTCTTCTTCTTCCTCCGTTTCCCAGACCCTTTCTGCCCTTCCTTGTCAGCACGCCCCTGTCCCGGAGGAACTGAACAAGAAGAATCTGTTGTTGGTTCTTCTGAGAAGGATTTCTCCTGAGAGGTGTCCAGCAATGACTCTTCATCAGGATCTTGATTTTTTTTTGCTGTTTCCCTGCTGTCTACCTGTTTGGAACTTGACTTGGTAGTCAGAATTGTTTCAGCATTTTCAGGTGCTAGTTCAACTCTGATTTTAGTCTCACTTTGACAGGTGTCACTGGGCAGTAATGTCTGTTCAGCTATTTTACCACTTCCTAAGACAGCTAGTTCAAATTTGCTATCCTTATCCCCTAAGCTCGGTCCACCTGATTCATCTTTTAAGCTGGTACATTGGCTTGAATAGCTGCTTGCAAACTGTATAGATGCTCCTATGATACATGGAGAAAACACGTTGGTTTTGTGTTCTGTGTTCTCTGGAAAGCTGTATGAGTCGTTCTTCCCCTTGATGCTGACTCCATCCTTTGGCTGGGAGACTCTATCAGCATCTGCTGAACTAAAGGAGCTTCCTTGAGTGCAGGGCTGTTGTGGCAAATTTCCTCCAGCACTGTCTTCAGGAGGTGGCTGGTTTGACGTAGATGACTGTGCTTCATCTTTACCAGGGCCTGTAATGGTGACAGCAGCAGCATCTGGGGCAGGAGTGTATTCTGAGTGATTGTCCTCACTTTGTTTGGTCTCGCAAATGCTTTCCTTTCCCACTGCTTTTACATCATTAGCACTTTTCCCTTTAAACAAATAACAAAGGGTCAGACATGGTTCTTCGGTGCTGCATTTGAAATGACCTAACCTGTTGGCCATCACCCCAAACCTAGCTACATTCATGGCTGTGAACCCTAAAAATGAATCTCATTCAGTAAAACCCAAGCTTAACTTGAAGCCTCCCATGGGACTAAACTACGTGCTTAATTTCCATAGAAGCAAAGAGAACTTAAACATGTTGAATCTGGGCTTATCTTGGCAGTGACACCTAGCACTTGGCATCGTGGCCTAATCTAGCTGACAAGTCTACACTGAAGTTAGTAGCTGGGTCTGAGACAGGACTTCAGACCTCTCTGCCCTCCCAGTTTTCTCCCATCCAAGTAGTAATCCAATCTAATCCTGCTTTTTCAAGGTAACCCAGGATGATGGTAACATGCAGATGATGTCAACATGAGTCTTCCAGCAAGAGCACTGGCTGGGGAGTCTCTGGGAATCGAACCTGCAGCCTTTAGAGGTGGAAGGAAGCTTGAGCAGCAAAGTCACAAAATCAGCAGCTCGTGAGTAACCCTTTCAAGCAGGTGCCTAAGTGTTTAATGAACACTGGTTTTGCCCTCCAAGGGCCCTGGATCCTAAATCACTGATACCCTTTTGGAAGTGGTGTCCCTTTAAGATTAAGATTAAATGCCCCAAATGTGACTGAGACTGGAGCTCCTGCTTGGGTATCTGTCTTGCAGTCAGGTGGGTTGGAGACCAATGGCCTCTGCCTTACCTGGTTGCCCTCCCTCCGGGGTGCCTGCCGGTGTTGTTTTAGGTGGAGTGTCTGACTCTCCCCTGTTCTTTGTTTTCCGTAGCTTGAAGCCTTTCCGTATGTCAGCCAGCAGGGCATCGATAATGCACACCTCCTCCTGCTTCACTGCCCCCTTCTTAACTGGGGTTTAAAAACAAGACAAAACAGAGATATCATTAATATCGCTCTCCTCCTGAGTGGGTAGGACCACTGAGAACAGTGATGACCTAAGGAATAATTTGACTTGACCTCCTTGCTCCCACCACTTCCGCTCCCCAGTGGCTCTTGTGTTATGACTGATCCCAGTTTAAAATAGATACCAAATGCTATTGCTTGGCCCTAAGACCATTCTACATCTGTCACACTGGTGTTGGTGACAACTGCGGAGGGAAGGAGCTATAAGGAGCGTGTCCCAGAGCCTCTGTCACTGAAGGTCATCACACCTGCCATTCCCCCCTTCAACTTATGCTAGAGGAGGTGTGTGGCCTGCAGGCTGAGACCTTGCACCTCTTTGTGTCCCGCATCTAGTTTGAATGTTGCAGATGTGAAGGACAGCTAATCTAGGGAGGGAGGGGTGTTCTGCTTTGCTTTAAGGCCAAACTATTTGTTGCTGGTTGAAACATGTTGCAAACTTCTGCTGGCTTTGGTGAATGGTTTCAGTTGAGAGCAGGGCTGGGAAAACTCTCTGAAAAAGTTCAATATATAGTTTTTCAATTTGTGAGGACATTTTAGCCAGAAGTTTAAATATAATAAATTTTAAGAAAAAATACTTTGTCCAACCCAGAACAAGGTCTTTTGTTTTCAAAGTGTTTTACTTTTCTGTTTGGCCAGCAGACCCCAAATTGGTATTAGCATAGCTCTGACTGTGGTAGATGGACATAGCTGCCTGTAGACACCACTTTTAGGTGCTGAGAAGCAGGAACAGGTTGGTACCTCTGAGTCCCCACATGGCTGAATATGGGCTCTATGAACCTTTCATTAAACCCTGTCAGATACTCACTTATCTTTCCATTTTCTCCTGTCTGTCTCTTAGCTTCTTCCTCCTCCAGCTGTTTCTTCCTCTTTTCTGCCTTTGCAGCTTGTTCCTTCCTGTCCTTGTTTTCCTGTAGGTAGATAAGTGATGTGATGTCTGATTTAAATATCTGGTAGCACAGCCACGCAACTGAGATCAGGTTGGAAAGCCACTAGAAAGGGGATCTAGTCCATCTGCAGCCTGTTGCAATTCCTGGGCACTTCCATTCCCAAATGGATAAAATGGGCAGTGGGACCTGTGTCCTTTCTTTGGGGGGAAGAGCCAGGGGGCAGAAAGCCTGTTTGGCCATGCTCATTCTCAGTAGGAAGAGGCAGCCATGGATCACCCAGTAAAGTAAATTTATTGACTTGCTCTAGATCAACTTTTCTTGTCCATTTGCATGCAGCCCCTCTATAAATGTTGAAAGACCCCATCTGAGCCAAGCTGATTTGCTTTGGATGCATGTGATGACCAATTTTGAGACCACTATAAGTCCAAACTTTCTATGAATTGCTCTTTGAGTGAAATAGAGACTTTCATGGATCCATCATTCAAACTATAGGCCCTGGATAAACAATCTGACCATTGCGTTTTTGTACACTTTTCATATTGGAAGATCCAAAGTGGACAGATTCCTCTTTGCCATTGGCAAATTGCCCCTGCACAGAGAACTGCTTCCTTGTATAAAGCTATTGCATGTAGTACAGGGAGTTTCCAGTACCAGCCACTCCTGCCTTCTCTGGCTTAAGGGATGTGGTCTTTGTTACACCACTTCCAGCTGTTGGCATGAGAAGGCACTGGTTGTGGAGCAGAGTTATGATGCAGCAATTCTGCCTGAGGCACCTTATGCTAGTAGAGATTTTAGAGAAGTCACAGGACTGCTCTACCCAATGTCAGTGCTGACTTGAGCACCTGATGGCCCTTGCCTTCAAGGGGAGAAATGAGTCTGCCATCTGTCCACCATCTTCCTATGCTACTTGAACTGATCCGTGTTTTCCACCCCTGCATCTGACTGCGCAATGTTCACAAATGCAAACCTTAAGTGCTTTGATGAAAAGATCCCTGAAGGTTTTCATGGTGCTAAATATATCTTCCAGTGACAGTTTGTTTGGATCTTCACAGAGATAGTTGGCAAGTTCCTCCTTTTTCCTGTCAATGGTATTAAATGTCTCCTTCAGCTTCTGTGATGCATTTATGCTGTCCTGAAAGGCATTTAATTTAAATTTTACAAAGGTAAAGACTGATGTTAAAAACGGAATAACAATGTATGAGCTGAAAGTTCAGGTGCAGGAGGACAAACAGAAAAAGGCAAAGGGGTGAAATGTAAGATGTGAGGGGGCTCCTCACTTACCTCGATGGGTGCCTCGTACTGTGCTTTCACATCGTCGCTCGAAGCCTGTAACTTTTTCTTAAGTTCTTCCAACTTATTTAAATGGGAACTGGATTCTGTACGTATAATTTCCAGGTTAATTCTGAAAAAGAGTACCCACAAGAGACTGAAGATGTTTTGCTATTTAGTCTGGGAATGCTGGAAGACAGGGAGAGCTGAGCCCATGTATCCCCTCCTGTGCTTTCCCTAACAGCAAAGCACAGATGTGTCAGTGAAATCTCAGGCAGGATTTCCCCAGGAGCTATGCACAGTGCCTAGAAGAATGGAGCCCTTCTCTTAGCTGGGACCTCTTGGTTCTACTGTAATGCAATAAGAAACCCCCATCTGAAAGCTCTAAGAAAGTAGATTAAGAGTAGGATTTCTTTCTTTCTTTTTCTTTTTCTTTTTTTTTTTTTTCAAACAGTGCTGAAAAAATTTAGGAACATAGCACCATTGACTTTTTGCATGGCCTATGAATCTAAATCACTTGTACTCTTGAAAATTGTCCTTTACTAGTCCTATAAGTATCTCTAGCACCAGTGAACCATGGTATTATTTGCTTACCATTGCTTATCTGTTTGTACAGATAGGGAAGGGATGTCCAGCTATACACTGTGGTGTTTGTATTTTGGCTCTTGAGAACCAGAGTCTCTCATGCAAGAGACCACAATTCCAAGCTGTCCTAGAAAACCTTGCAGCAACAAAACCTGTGGTATTGGAAGTGTTCACAATGTAGGCAAAGCAACGTCTCTTGAGTGACCATCCCCAAATGCACTTGATCGAATCCATCTGTGGTGTGACTCCAGGACTATTGATGCCATGGGCTTTAAATCCAGTGGGTTTACAGCAAAGACCAAACTGGCCCAGGAAATATAGTTTTGCTCCACTTTGTGTGAAGACCCCCTTTGCCAAGGAACTAGTTCTCTGTGAGCCCCTGGAGTGAGTGAGGAAAGTGGTCTCTAGCAGCACATAGAGAAACAGGGGCAAGTCTAACTGCAACCTCGTGTATTGTATACCTCGAACTGAGACATATGGACTCTAATTGTCTGGCATCTCTAATGCATTAAAGGCACTAATCTACAGATTAAGGGCTCCTCTTGGAGTGCTAGCTACTAGCATATTGTCCCAGAATACATAGTAGTGAAAGGCACTTCATAAACAATTAAAGGTGGATGGATTTAAAAAGGTACAGCCCCCCCGCCCCCCCGAATACAGTGTGGCCTCTGGAAAGCTGAATTAATTGAATGTGGTTCAATTTCCAGCCCTTAGCACTGCCGCTTATTGCCTGTTGCAAATCATCAATTTGCATTTTAAAATGGTCTCTGAGTTCATGAACCAAATCTTTTGGTTCAAAACTAATTAAAACTCTACCCCATTAATTAATGGGTTATAACGGCTTTTTATGTTCTAATTTCTTGAAAATGGCTGGTGTGGGGGTTGTACGGTGCATGTCTTCCTTTTTAATTTAAAGTAACCTCCTACCCTGCTGCCTTTGCAACACATTCAAGGTCCTTGGGAAGCTCCAGTAAGTCCGTGTGATTATTTTCTACTTCCTGAAACAAGAGAGAGACTTCAGTTGTTGGTATGTTCTCAGCTTCACATTGGAGGAGAAGGGTATGTGGGGGTTTTGGGTGGGAGAGGTGGGGAGAATGGACAGAAGCAAAGTGCTCGGAGTGTGTAATCGGTCCATATAAGGTGACCTCTCCCCTCCCACCCTCTTATTGTTACTGAGCCAAGAATTTAGCAAGTTGTTTTTAATGAGACATTCCTGAGTCCTTAATGTTAAAGATTAAAACAAATATAAAGAGTTTTAAGAGGGCCGTGAACACCCAGCCTTTAGGTCATAGGTTGACCTCCAGCTGATAAGAGCTAGGATGGAACTTTTCTGACTATTGTCTACTGTGGTGTTTCTTGAACCTTCCTCGGGCAGTAGGTACTAGCCACTGCTGGAAATGGGGTCAGACCATGCTAGTCGGATGCTAGCTAGTCCAGTATCCTTTGTATAGAATAGAAACACTCTAATGTATCTTACCTGCCTACCTATTTGCTTAGATAGCCACTATCACCACAGTATCTGTGCACTTCTGCCTAGCAATTAAGGACTGGCTGATGCCCTTTTTAGGTGTTACAAGAGAAGCAGGACTTACGTTGAGGTTTTAATTTGCAGATTTGGTTAGGCAGAGAACTCAATAAATGGGGCAAACTGAAGCTGGTGCTGTAGGCAGAGCAAACAGGAAAGTGGGGAAAGGATAAAAGGTCAGCTAAGCAGGAAAAAGAAAGTTGTGAAAAGCTGGGGGAAGTCAAAGGGGCTCAATTGATAAAGTGAGAGTGGGCAGAAGGATTCAGAGTGGGGGTGACCTCGGTAGGGCTGTTGGCAAGGCAGCTGCATTTTGGGCACTGAGGAAATGAGGGAGGAGAAAGAGCCAGTGGTGGAGATGATAGGGTGGGTCTGGGCAAGACGCCCTGTTCTCTCCACAATTTTTATAGGAATCTTTTTTTTTTAAGGTTCTCTAGCTATAACATTAGGGCCCCATCCAAATGGAGCCCTGCCTCCAATGCCATGCACAGAGGATGCAAACACGAGTGTGTGACACCAGTTTGGCCAGGACCAAATTCCTCCAGGGAAACTGCAGAGGTACCTTCAGAATGTGGTGCAGCAAAGTAACGCGGGTTTGGTTTGCTTTGGTTTCAGTTAGTTTGAGTAAAGTGCTAATTTTAAAGCCATCAGCATCTCCGGTGTGACTTCCCTGAAGGAAAGAAAAAGAAAGCAGAAATAAGTCTCGTGTTCCCTCCTTATTTATATCTGGTCTATACAAAAGGGAGGTTTTAGCTTTTAATCAATAAAATGGATTGATTAAATTAAAAAAAAAAAACCTTACATAGTTCAGAAAGTTTCCAACTTTGAGGATCAGCTGGCAAAACAGAGGCAGGCGATGGCTAATAAGAAGATCTGTGGGGGGAAAAAAGTGTCTGTGAATGAATGTCACCTTCCACTTGGAATGACTCCCAAATGGTCTCCAAGCTGGGGCTCCCAGCTCCAATTATTCCAAATCAGGACTTTCTGGTTTACAACACAAATGATGTGGCATCTGTTCTAATGTGCGAGAAACCCAGGGAGAGTCTGACTTTAAGTGGCCCTGGTTAACTTTTTGAGCTGGACTGAGCAAGTCTTGTGGACTCTTCATACTTTGAAGTTCCTTATTGGGGAAATAGCATGAGACCTGATTCTATTTGCTTGCAGCCACTTACCCCAATGTTACACCAACACTCACTGATTGCAATGGGATTACTCTTGGTTTATACCAGTGTAAGTTGAATGAGAATCAGGTCCTGTGATTTTAATATTCAAGGGCACTCGGGGTCTGTTTGAGTTATAGAGAAGCCAGTTTTGACATGCCTTGCAATTATATTCTGCTCATTATAACTAGACAGGCTAGTCCTGTTCTCAGGTGGTGGTTGGTTGGCAAGGGAGCTGATTAGCAGTGTGTGAAACAGGCCAAGGCCATATCCAGTCTATCCCATAAGATTGAGCTTTGTGCGGCTAAGGGCCCTTAAAGAAGCAAATTTGACACACGTGAGGTGGCAACAGAGGAACACCAGCACAGACACATTTATTTGAGCTTCTCTGCTAATCCCACCAGCACCTTGATCACTGCTGCTAGTGGAGAGTTGCACAGTATAATGGAGCCAAGCATTTTGGTTACATTGCACTTAGCAGTAGAAAGGGGGCCTCATTCACCCCAAATAATTTCCCACAAAGATTCCTGGGCCTCTGCACTACATAAACTTGAATCTGGTCTGGGGAGAGCAATTTTTGTGTGATTTCCATCAGCTAAAAAAAATGCATGTACAAATTTGAAAGCCTATTCAACACCATCAAATTGTCCTCAGTGTGGTGTCAGACTTCCCTTCCCCACCCCCTGCAAGAGGGAGATATTGAGTAAGGATTGCCCAAGATATTTTTATACCACCATCTAACAGGGGTGGACAAATTACAGCCTGCGGGCCAGATCTGGTCTGCCAAGTGACTCTATCTGACCCAGGTGGGTCCCTCAGCCCCATCTAGCCTGAGTCATAGCGTGTGTGGCTGGTCCCGCCATCTCTGGGTGTGGAGGTGCCACCTGGTGGAGCTGTAGTCTGTGGGACTCGGTGGCATGGTGAGGGTGATGCAACATCTGGACTTAGCTTCTCAGCAGCCTCTGTGGCAGTGGCTTGCTCTATCCTCATACTTCTGGCTGCAGTTGCCAGTGTCTCTGCAGCCAGACCTGGCCCCCAGCCCACCCATCCTGTCCTGCCACTGAAGGTACTGGACAGAGTGGCAGGGGTCTCTACTGAGACCAGCTCAGGACCCCAAGGGCAGTGTGTGCTCTGGATGGATGCAATGAGGCCATAGGCAGGCAGAAAGCGGTACCTGGGAGCAGGACAGGTGTGTGGAGCTGGGAACATGTGATGGTGACATTGTGGGGCTGGGGCCTGGGGCAGAGCTGTGATCTGCTCCCCACACGTCCCTGTGGCAGATGCTGGTTCCAAGAACACCCCACCCACCTGCTCTGTCCAACACCATCAGTGGTGGGTGCAGGGTGGACAGGCCTGGGCCAGATAGGATCAATTGACATCTCCCTGGCTGCCCCTGCCAGGTGGTATAAACAGCCATGATGGGGGCCTGAGGCCAGGTCAGCACTCTTCCCTCTTCCCACCCTCAACAGCTCACTAAAATTCCTTAAGTGACCCTAAATAATTACCCAGCCCAACCTAGAGGACCTTCCCATTCTGTTTTTCCATGTTGTCTCTGTCCCCAATGATCCAGGTGGACCATCCTCATGTACTCCCAAATGGTAGCTCTAGGGCTGGTAAGACCTACCACATAATCTACATGGATACTTGGATGGCCCCATTGCTACGGGAGCAGAGTAGCTCCTAACTACTTACAACAGCAGCAAAGTCTGTAGGAGAGAGCTTGACTAGTGGATAAGAAGGGATTTTGAGTGTTTCTGGGTTGGCAGAGGGCTTCTGCTCAGGCAGTTGTACATAATGATGTTCAAGGGAGTCCTAAATGGGGTCTTCCTTTAGTTTTTGCCAGGTTGAGGTCCACTGTCTAAATCCAGCTTCCTGGAAAGATCTGGCACTTACTAGCCTTGACTGGTTGATGACTGCATCAACAGTGAAGCTGGCATGATAATCAGAAAGTAACACTTAGGTAGGCAATGCCAGTTCCATGGAAGGCTCTGACTATCAAGGATTCATTGGTCTACGTTTTGTTTTTGCTGGTGAAGCTGGGAGGACGGTGGGTCTCTGAAATGCATTCATGGTGGTCCACAGATTTTGGCTGCTGAGCATTTTGCAGTGGGAGACTTCTTCAGGGCTTGTGCTTTGTAATTCACCCCTAGAAACAATCATTAAGCCTGATGTCCATAGCTCATAAGGACCTGATTCTCTCTTAAGTTTGATAGAGTCAAGGAGGAATCCACCAGCCAAAACCAGATTTTCCTTAATATGGAATGAAGACAACAAAAGGTCACTTTGGCCTCAAATTCTAGGGAAAAAAGAGGATCGCTATATTGTGTATGGTTCTGAATATAATCCATTGATGTGTGGCCCTGTCCCGTTTACCTTCACAGGCTTTCTCGATCGTGTCTGCTTTAGGTTGTAGCATGTCTAGCATGACCGTAGTCTCCTCGCATAATAGCATACATTCAATCCGCAGTTGATAGCTAAGAAAAGAGATTAGTACAAATATACTGTTAGGCCTAACAACCTCCTGAACTCCTCTACCACAGTGGCCTCCCCCCACTCCCAGAACCATTAAAAGCTTGCTTATTCTAAAATCTATGGAAAAAAATCCACATTCATAGCTTATGTGGGTATGTTCACACCACAGCAGCAGAGGCCGCAGTCCTGCTACTGATGCAATAAGCCCCATCCCTTGGTCCTACTTTGTACGTCAGCCCGGGAAATGATATGAGGAGGACACCCATAGGAATATTCCTGGCATTGCACCCAAGACCTGGACTTCCAGTGTGCTCAAAAGCAGCAGGTTGGGTGTGGACAAGGCCTCTGTCTACATCAGACTGGTACAGATTGATTGGCTATGCCTATGGCTTGGGGTTCTACTTTATCAATGGGAACCAAAACCTGGTAGCATGGAGACGATGCTGTAGGGCCACACTAACTCAGCAGAGAGGCAGGACTGCTACGTGGCCTTCAAGAAACTCTCACAGGCCTCCTGAATCACTTTTGGGTAAGTTATGTGACCTCCTAGGTCCCTTAATTCTTATTGGCCAGTGTGTGTATGTGTGCGCACATGCATACATGGATGTTTGGGGCCACAACCTCCTCCACTGTGAAGCCACAGATATCCAGAATTGGATGCAAAATGGGCAGTGCTAACTGGGGAAGGCTGTGGGAGACCATCTCATTGGGAGTCTTGCCAGCAGGTACTATGAAATCCCTTAATGGCTCCCTCTGGTAGCAAATGGAAAAGAGCATAGGCGCAATATGTTTCCATGGCAGAGCAATATGACTATAGTTGTATCTTCCCAGGCTGGCTTCAAGAGGCATAATTTATATTTCCTTTTCTATGAGTATTTTCTTATCTCTAAAATGGAATAGTTCCTCAGGTGGCTAATGTGAGGTTTATATGATTGTAATTCTGTAAAGTGCTTTAAGGACCTCTGTTGTTAATTTGTACTTTGTTTGCTGATTCCATTAAGGTGTCTTAATAATGAGCAACTGCCCTCAATTCAATCACTAAGCATGCTAAAAACCCTTGACAGAAGATTTTGTTTTAAAGCAACAAATCCATTAAAAGAAAGATCAGGCTCTTTCTCTTATTTTTATTCCTTTTGAGAGCTTCTCATAGTGTTGCCACAAGAAAAAAGACCCATTTCTTTCTATTGTGTGGCTTTTCCAAATAATTGCGAATGACTCCGCATTCAGAACATTGTGTAGTGTAATGCTCTGGCTGGAAGCACTTTGAGTCTCCTTTTACATGACACACTGCACTAGACCTCACAGGCTCTCTGAGTAGATCAAAGCTGCTGTTTTTTGAAAAAGGTATGTAAGCAAAGATGAAGGTAAAGTGGGAGATAATATCCCTTACCTGGGAATCCCAAGGAGGAGGAGATAAAACTGATCAGCATTAGCTAACTTTGATTTTTCTTCCTTGAAGGCTTTCAGGTTTTCTATCTAACAAGAAATACAAGAGTCAACATTGCAGAACTGCACCCCTGCTTACAGCTTTTGTGAACTGAATTGAATTTAGAGGCTTCTTTCTCCTAACCTCATGCTTTTCGGGTAGCAGCTTCAGTAGTTGTTTCAAAACTTCAACGTCAAACTTGGTCCTGTCCCCTTTCCGAATCATATCAGCTACTTCTTCATTTGAGCTGTAGGGAACAGGCATGGAATTAGAAACAGTCATGAAATGATGCATGTGGTACTGCAACCATAAGCCATTAAGCATAGCGCTAATTCTTTGTGAAGAGGATCTATAACCCCCCATGAGAACTGCCTACTGGGAGGAAATACGATCCAGCGGCTAGTGCAGACATAGACTTCCTGGGGGACTTTGGTCAAATCACTTAAGACAAACTTTTAAAAGATATTTAGGTGCCTCAAGATGTGGCCAGGTAGGTTTTTTCAAAAGCACCTGAGGTTAGGCATTGATGGATGCCTGCAGGCATACACAAACACATTTTCCTCCTCATCTAGAAAATGAAGTTCATAGCACTTCCCTACCCCACAGGGATATTGGGAGGATGAATACATTTAAAAAGCCTAGAGGTGCTCAGATACTACAGTGATTGGGACCATGGTGGTACAATAGGTAGACAAGATTTTTCAAGCTTTGCGTAGATTAATGTATCTGGAAGGAAAATAAAAGTCACTTTCTAAAGTACCATTTTATTCAGCAAATGTGAAACAGGTCATATCTTACCATTTAAATTGCTTCAAAAAGATATTCAAGTTGAGACTTTTCTTGGAGTCTAAGAACGTGATCTGTTTTAAGAAATGACACTTTGGGTTAGAGGAGCCATATGCAGTGATCTTGATCTATATTTATCAAACAAATAGAAATAGCCCAATACCTCCTTTGGTTCTGCTTTGACAGGGGCAGTGGCTTTCTCCTTGGGGCTTGTTTGGGGAAAACAGAAGAGTTGTTCTATGCTCGTATAATCGGGCTCTATGGTTTCTTCGCTGCTGCTAGTCACTGACGCCCACATAGAGTGACTTTCTGAAAGAGAAACAGCATCAGTTTGGCTACAGACACAGCCAAAAACTCAGAACTTCAGTTTTGAGACAATGCTACTGCCTGGAATAGAAATGCTCTGAAAGATAAATGAAAGGAGAAGAGAGGCACATTAGTCCTGGACTAATGTTAATTATTTAAGAGTGGCAGCTCCCACAGTGCAGATCCCAAAGGTTTGAAGGCTAATTAAACCAGGGACGCTAGAGCCACATGCTATTAACTGCACTGAAGGCAGGAGCCAAGCTAAATGGCTTTCCCCAACTTCTGTTAGCTCTCGCTGCTCTGCTGCATATCGCAGAGTTGCAGTGCGCGCACAGGATGCTGAGCTCCAATTAGGTTAATGCCTCTGTCTAGAATACTTAACGGGCTCCCCAGGCACAGGATCACTGTCTGGCTCATTAGGAGCCATCTAGCTAATACCTGGGACATTTGGAAGCAGAGTTATCTGCAATGTTGCTTAACATCCTAGAGAATTCCACGGAGAGCCAGATGCGGAGAGAGGCACATCTTGGGGGTTATGTATGGTGACCATAATAATTTGAGAGAAATCTGGGGCGGAAAGGAGTGGGGGGGGGCACCAGTATGCACATGCATGCACACACATAGCCCCGACCCTGTGGCTCCCCACGCACACCCCTACCCTGACTCTACTGAGCAAGCGACTCTGCTCACAGCCCAGCAGGGTCCAGACCAGGAAGCAGCCCATTGTTTCAACTCCCTGCAGAAAATTGAAGCAAAAGTCCAAGATTGGCACAAACCTGTCCGCGCGTGCCTGGCTCCTGACTCGGGAGTCTCGTGCAGGCAGGTTCCCGCCAATCCGGGAACTTTGCTTCAATTCTCTCCAACGGGTGGGAAGCTGCGACAGTTTCCGAAATCCAGGACTGTCCCACCAATCTGGGATGTATGGTCACCCTAGGGTTATGTCAAAGCTAGGCTACAGTGCTTTCAGGAGCTCCCAGGCATGCAAGCACAGTGTATGCACAGCTCCATTCCTAATGTGATGCAGACTGACTCAATCAGCTGGTGGAGAGCAGGAAGGCTGTGGGCCTGTCTCCTTCCTATTTCTGGTAGGGTGGCTAACAGGATGTCTTCGGGGACCATGACTGGCCATTTTCTGCATGGGAACTTTCCTAATTATTATAAATTGTAAGTGCATCCAGTCTGGCTTCCCATATAACTGGGCCATAGGATTTCTTTGAATCATTTATTTATGTATGAGATGGGTAACTCCTGCTTGAACTAGAGCATATTATCTAAAAAATCCACCCAATCTCAATTTGCTGTTTGAGAATCCACTAAAACGCTTGATAATTCTTTCAGTAATTTGTTCCAATGGTTCATTACCTGCATTAAACATTTTTCACACTATTTTAGGCCTAGGCTTGTTTACCTTCAACTTCCAGTCATTGAATCTTGCTGTCTGGTAGATTAAAGAAGACCTCAATCTTGCACGTACCAATGTAGGTAATTATATGTGTCCCTTCACCTTCCATGGTGAAAAACTAAACAAACTTTGCTCCTTAGATCGTTCACTGTAAAGATTATTTTCCAAGTGCTCAGGTTTTTTTTTATGGCTCTTCTCTGAATTCTACCATTTTCCTCAAAGTCCTTGGCTTGTGGATAGCAGAACTGAATGGAGAACTGCAGTGGTAATCTCACAAGTGCAAAATAGAGGTAAAAATCCTGCCTATGACTCTGCAATACTCCCCTGCCTATATAGCCTTAGCAGCACTATATAATTCATGCTGACATGGTTTTCCACATTTCACTTCTCCCCACCTAATTTTTTCCCCCACAATTACCCAGGAGAGAGCGCCCCCATTCTGGCCTGTCACAATTTGAACAACTTTGAAACCAGATCCATAGCTCGCTGAAGTTGATTGGAAGACTTATTGCTAGGGGGCTACGTGGAAGGGAAGTGAGGTGCCTTTTAGTTTGGAATTCATTAAAAAAAAAAAAAGGCTTTTATTTCTAGACAAAATTGTCCCCAGCCAAAGACTTAACTAAGACATTCAATAGCTATTTCTGGGCTTATCTCCACGTTTCCTTTGAGCTTTGCTGCTCAGGTGTGAAGGAGGCATTAGGCTCTGCTTCCAGATGGAACTAAATCATAATAATTTTAGCCCACTTCAATAAAGCCAGCTGGATATGGGCAGTGCAAACACAGCTGAGTCCTTCTCCACAGCCCCTCTAAGAGCAGTGATGGACAGAGGGCAGCATCAGGAGCACCTACCTCTCACCACGTTGGTCGGCAGCTTCTGCCAGTTGAGTTTCTTCATCCTTAAGGTTGGAGTCTTCACCTTCTTGTGGAAGGGCCTGGCACAGTCGAGAGAATAGTTGACGTGGGCGACGACTATTTCTTCCCCATTGCCTCCCAGTGCCATGCCTGGCAGTAGGGGAGGGGGTGGGGGCACGCCTGCCATGCTTGGCAGTGGGGG